ATCATAAAATGCTATAAAATACAAATATTGCCTTAGGAAAAAAAACCAAAAAAAGAACAACCCCAATAATAACCAGGCAAGCTGTACCATAGCACATGGACCCTCAACAGGAGGCAATTCAGGCCTGAAGCAAACCCCAGCAACATGGAAGATTTTAAAGTGAGGTCTAATGACTCTGGACCTAGGACTGGTATATCCTCCCTTTCCCCTGCATGGAACAATATGATGCCCAGAGCTCCAGGGAAGAGAACCAGCTTGTCCTGCCCAGGCTGGCAGACACAGAAGGGATGTTCATGTACAATGCAGCCTGTGTGCTCTGTCTGTCTGTTTATCCTGGCCAGTGCCAGGCAGGAAAGGGCCTGCTGCAAACCTGACCTTCAGGACTGCATTGGAACATCCCTGTCATTCAGGAGCATGTGGGGAAGAACACACAATGACACACATGGTTTAAGTAAATCCTCCTGAATAGTCTTTCCTTTCTCTCCTTAAGGTATGATGACCAGAAAACACGCCAGCAGTCTGGTTGTGGCAGTGCCATGACTACTTCTTTTATTCTTCTACCTCACTCCTCAGTGCTGTCCTTGCTTCCTTGTGCTCTCCTGCCTGCATTCATCTCTTACCTCTGATATTTTAATTCATTTTTATGAAGAAAAACATCAACTTTTCATTCATTCAACAACTAAACTTGAATTAATCTTCAAAGATAAACAGTTAGCCCAGGTGGGGAAAATACCTGCAGGTCAGATTCAATTAGGAAGATTCCTAAAGCAATAACAGCATCCCTGCGACGTTCATCCAACTGGAAAATCCCATGGAAATCCACTGGACACATACAGAGCAGCTTTTGTACCTGAAAAACAGCGGAGGGAAAGAACAGTGGAACAAGACAAAGTGTCAAAACAAACTGAAGTTTGAAGTGCACAGTGGTCTCTCCATCTTCTGGAAGACAGATGGGCACATTACCCTCCTTTAGTCATCAACCTTAACAAGAGCATTCAAGGGTTGGGAAAGGGTGGTGAATGACAGAACCCAGAGAGACACAGGAAAAGCTTGAGCAGAAGTCAAACATTTCTACCACAACATGGGTTGATTTAAAGGCTTTCTTCAACACTTGATCAGAGCGTTGAAGTACAACAAAGCCTTCCTTCACTGGGCATTTTAGATGTGCAAGAAACGTGCAGCAGGCAAATTTATCACATTTACTCAATTCCTGTAAACAAAAAACCAGGTGGCTGGAGCTTTGTTTACAGCTGCACCAATGCATTCTTCATATACAGCACTGAACCATTAACTGTTACCAAGATGAGTACGACTGGCTCAAATCTTTCAGGTTACAGATTAAGTTTTCAAAACTATTATTTTCTCACTGCTTAGCTAATACTTAACTCCATACTCAGCACACGCACATCTAAAGAATATATCAAATCCTCCAAATACTTTGTTTTTCTATGGAACTGTTAACAAATGGAAAACGCAGCAAGCATATTGTCTTTTCATGAATTTCCTTGATGTTAATAAATACTATCTAAAGAGGACTGTCATAATAAATAACTATGTCTGACTCACCTATGTTTGAATGTCAAGTCGTTTCCTATTTAGATAACTCTTTGAACACTCCATCTGGACATTTCTAAACCAAGAAAAGTTTCCCTGGAGGATTACAAGAAGCTACAGGACACGCAGTGGAATTTAGGATTCTGGTCCTTCAACTGCCAGATCTCATAATTACAAGACTAGTAAGACAACAACACAAATAAGCCTCTTGCTTAACATAAAATGCTGGAGAGGACACATGAACTTTGGAAAATGACTGCTGCTGCATGTGTTCCACGTCAGGTTATACCTGCAATAACATGAGTGAGTAATTTTAGATAGATATGAACTGTTAATATCATTTAACTTCTACTGTAATCTGTCAAACTAATAAATAAAAAAATTAAATAAATAAATCCCTGGATATTAGTGAACCAACAGCAAGGCTTACAAAAATTATTCACCGTTGGCTGTCACACCAATGGCACATTTCCAGAACACGAAGTAAGAACCGAAGGCGGCAACAGCTGGCCAGGAACAAGCACCAGAGTTTTCATCAGCACAGAGCCGTGCTTTTCAGCTATTTAGTCATGATTACTGCATGAGGCAATTCAGACGGTCTGTCACTTCTGGCTCGGGGCAGCCAACTCCCCAAACAGCAGCGTGTCCTTCCCTCCTCCCCCGGCACCACACACACACATCCCCTGGCTGGCTTTACCTTCAGCGGAGCTTTATCTCACCCAGGCAGATTCTACCCGTCATCTGAATTTAACAGGACACCCGGAGCAAAGCAACCAGTCCTAATTAGGCTGAGACTAATTACGCCCACAAGACCCTGTTCCACAGACCCGGGGGAGGCGCAGCCGCTGAGGACCTGCGTTCCTTGCGAGGACACGGGGGGGGGGGCTGCGCTGACGGCGTTTTTGGGTCAGGATGGCCCACAGG